GTGATGTATTTTTACATTACCAAACAAATTTGTGATGTAGTTTCAAAGAGTTTGAAAGGTGTGCACCACTTTTCCCCGGAAATGATTGTTGTCACTTTTTTCACATTTTAATTGAATTGTTTCTTTTATTTTTGTGTATGGTTAATAACCAAATAATCGAACCAAACCAAACCGAAACCGATAAATGTATATTATACTTGGTTTGGTTTGGTTTTGATAATTTTAAAATCGATTAAGTTGGTTTGGTTTTGGTTTTGACCAATAACCGATCCAAACCAAACCGTGAACACCCCTAGCTACAACCTAGCCTTTTCGTTAACTTGATCTCCCACCTCCACTGTTAATAAGTGGTGGCAAGACTCGAATCCTGTGTCAGGTTCTTTAAAAATGCATTACTTTTTAAAAAAATTAACAACGTTTTTGATAGAGTCAAAATAATATGTATTATTTGAAGTCTTGTTGCATGATTTCATGGATTATTGTAGGAAAACTGGACTCTCGAGTACCCAAAGCTCATGGCAAGAGTTGAACTTCTGCAAAGAAATATAAGGTACCTACTCCACTTCATCTAGTGAATAATCACTTTGTTTAATTTGACACTATTTTCTTATAAGTTTGTTAAAAAAAAAGACACATTTTTATATTCTTTCAATGAAAAGATTTTATCGCCACAAATACATATGTTATCTTATGTTTAAGAAAACAAGTTTTAGAGATGTTGCAGCATATTAACTCTATATTGAAGGTCAAATAATTATTCCCCCTATCTCAATTTATGTGACACTTTTCGTTTTACTAGAGTCAAACATATTAAGTTTGACTGAGAATTTACGCATGAAATCTTCAAATTTTTTGAAATGAAATTTATATGTTTATAAACTAGGTAAAAAGCATTACAAGTCATAATAATTGATAATTCAAAATATTTAAAAGATATATGAAAAATTTACTATCAAAGATCAACTTATTTGAATCTCGAAATCCAAAAATGCCACATAAATTGAGATGGAGGAAGTAATTTAAAATGGAGAGGAGTTTATAGTTGGATTTTTTGTGCTAAAAATAAAAACAAGATGTTAAGTTTTGTACACTATCAGTCTAAATAACTTCACCTTCCTAGAATATGGAAATGAAATCTTAAAAATTAGATATATTACTTGCTATAACAGGTAAAAAAAACGCGAAGATATAAAAATTATTCATATTAACCTCCTTGGGATCCGGCTCCTCTCCATTTTCCCCAAGTTCTTGCTTGGATGTGAGACACATGGCATAGGTAAAAACTAATGGTTAAGATTTAATTGAATAAAAATAAGATTTTAATTATGATTTAGATAAATATTTCATACGAAAAATGACAATTCCACAATCATAACAATATATTATCTTGTACATAAATATATTATTAAAAAATATTCTTTTTCTAATCTTTTTCTTACTAGTATTATCTTCTGTTTTTGTCCATAAATATATTATAAAATAATTTCTCTTTTTCTAATTATTTTTTTCCATGCGAGTATTTTTTCTATTAATTATATGTAAACTAATTTCAAAGAGAAAGTTCAAAGTTGCTATCTAAGACTTGCTCAATTTTTTTTTTAAAAAAAAACAAACAGAAGATAAATACTCGTAGGAAAAAAAATTAGAAAAGAGAAAAGTTTTTATAATATATTTATGGACAAGATATTATATTGTTATGACTTATGATTATGATATTATTATTTTTCTTATGAAATATTAATTATCTAAATCATAATTAAAATCTTATTTTAATCAATTTAATCTTAGCCATTGATTTTTATCTATGCCATGTGTCTCACATCCAAGCAAGAACTTAGGGAAAATGCAGGGAAATGGAGAGGAGCCAGATCCCTAACCTTGTATATTTCTTTGATTTATATTTGGAATTGAAATTGAAATATGAATGCAGGCATTTTATGGGAGAAGATCTGGATGCCTTTAATCTGCGTGAATTTCAGGGTTTAGAGCAACAACTCGATACAGCTCTGAAACGAGTGCGATCTAGGAAGGTTAGTATTATTTTCAACGATTAATAATATGTGAGACATATAATAACATATAAGAAAATAAGTAAATATCAATGGTACTTTTCAATTTATCGAATAAATATTATTCCATAAACTTTTTTTTCTTTCAATAAATTATTAACTAAATAATTCATTGGAGAAGCTAGAAATTCGTTGGGATATTCAAGGTTTAATATACAAGTATAGAAATTAATTTTTGATCTCTATTTAAGGTATAATTTTTCGATAAAGTAGGTTCGACTAACTAATACTAGTAGTTAATTATTATTATTATTATTATTATTTAATATAATGTTGTTTTAACCTAAAAAATAAAAATTGCTCAACAAGACCTGTCACTGGAATTTGCAGAATCAACTGATGCATGAGTCCATTTCCCAGCTGCAGAAAAAGGTAAAAAATCTTTCTTCAACTTGTAAAAACGACCTCACTAATATTAGGTTGATTTCACCTCGAATTAATTGTGTAAAGTCTAAAAATACTTTTTACTTTATTAAAGTAACTGCACTTTATTTAATATTTCTTTCTTGTCACAATTAACTATGTGAACTATGAGTGAATTTTTCAAAGCAATCGACAAGGATTGTGGTTGAGTGGTAAGTATTCATTCATTTTTAATTAGAGATTTCGGCTTTGAGTCCCCCTGTATACGAAGTCGCCTTAGTTAGGAAGTGTTTTACCCTCACTGTGGGACTTTCAGGCGCAATGGGAAACCAAAATATAATTCAAAGCATACAAACAGTGTTTTTAAAAATGTTTTTGGGGCGAGTCTCGAGGCAGGGCGTACCAAAAATGCTCCGGAACATAAATTAAAGACGTAAGTAGACCCATAAGGCGTAAGTACTACTCGAGCAAAAAAATGTAAGTCCTGGACGTAAAAACGTAGGCCTGGGCGTTTTCAATTTATTTTTTAAACCCTTTTTGCTTTAAATCATATTTTTTTATTATTGGTGTAATGATATTTCTCAAATCGTAATTATAATACTTTTTTTCTTTCATTATTGATTATTAATACTTATCTCAAATAAAAATCATAAGTAATATAATTTCTATATATTATAGGTTATTTATAAAACTTTATTTGTAAGATCATTGAAAGGTTTACTTTTGCTTATTTTATTAGTAATAAAATTATAAAATTGAATATAGATGAGACTACGCCCCATAGTTCCATGGGACTTACACCTCGCCTCACACCCCACCTTTTAAAACACCGCATACAAATGACTAAAATGTGTATAAACACCACTTATTCACGTTTGTCTTAATTTATACATTGTGTATGGTAAATGTACAATATTGTATTAGCACAGGTGAAAAAAAATGGTTATGCTGAGCGAAGATATGAGCTATGTGATGTAATTATTTTATCCTGTATATTCTTGTAAAAATCTTTTATTCTAATTAATGTTATGGCATAAATCATAATAGTTAATTTAGTCACTTCAACTGCAGGAAAAAGAACTGCAAGAGCGAAACAACTTAATTTCTAAGAAGGTAATATATATTATATTATGAGTTCTTTTTCTTCATTTGATATTCAATATTTATATTGAAGCGCGAAATATGAATTAAACAGCTTAAAGAAAATGAGAAGAAGCAAATTGTGCAAACAAATCCAGGCCAAAGGTCTACCATGACTTTCTTGCTACAATCTCCCTCAGTCACTAACCTAACAATTGGGTACTACTCTTTTTCTATTTTCGAGTATTTTAATTAAATTTATGTTTATTAATTTTTCAAATAAATTAATATTCGAATGTGAAATATAAACTTCTTGATTTAACATGTTTTCAAGCTTCGAGCCTTCATTTTAAATCTTTGATCTCAATATATAAACAATATTGAGGTCATGTGTACCGTACCCTTGAAAATATATGTGCATATCTTTAGATTTTGTTTAAAAGACCGTATTTATATATGGGATAGCATAGTGCATTGATGATTGATTTAATATTGTATATAGTTTTACCTTGTATTTCGCTTATTATTTTGAGTTAATAAACTCTCAGAGGTCCTTCTCAAGCAACGGATGAAAGTCAAAATCGTCATGGTTACAATACCTTGATGCCTCCATGGATGTTCCACCATGTCCATAACAAAGGATGAAAAGTTAATTAATTTATATACATATAATATCACAATTGTATGGCTTTGTTGTAGTAATTAGTTGTAATCAATCTGTAATTAACTTTTGTCTACTTGTTTTGCTTAATATGAAGCAGATGATGAGCTAACAAACAGTCTTAGTAGTTATTATGAACTATTAGAAATGTCACCTTCGTTTGTGTTTGATACGACTGAAAATATTTTTTTTCTAGAATATGTTTTCAATGTTTGATAGATGGTTAGTGAAAAATGTTTTTCGAAAGGTATATATGTATTAAGGATAATTTGAGAGACATCGATCCCTTCAGATTCATCTTCTATAGAACTTGTGATTTACGATATTAGGTTTGTTATGGAATCAAAGAAGAAGTTCTATGTAATAATATATGTACAACTTTAGACTATGAATGTTTAGGTGTAGTTTGTGTTTCATAGCAATGTGATTATATTGTCTGATTAGTGAAACAAGTAACTGCATCTTTGAAATATGGATTACTATTGATTTAATTGTTGTTTTCCGATAAATAATTAATCCTTAATTTCAAGTTGGTTGAAGTCTACAACAACATACCCAGTGTGATCCAATATGCGAGTCTGGTGAGAATGGAGTGTATGAAAATTATCTAGACCTTATCCATACCTCGGTTAAGGTAGAGAGACTAGTAGAAAACAAAGTTTCTAAATAAATTTTGGTCTAGTAGATTTTATTTTTCTTTCAAAAGGGATTCTTGGTTATCGATGAACAAACCTTTCACCAAACCGATGTTATAACAAAAGAAGAATGTACCTGTAAACAACAGCGAAAACTGTATTTGGAAAATCCACCAAACTGGGGGTGTAACATTAAAGTGAAAACCATATAACAATATGGAAACTCAAGCATTAATCAGGGATATGTTTAACAATTAGTACTTATTTTATATTTTACTGTACATGATAACATATATGTATTTGGCAAAATGGTATTCACACAGACTTTAAATTTATCTGTTCTGGTTTTATAATCCCTTACTACTGCTGGTTTCACCCCTCTGGAACTGTAACTTCTTGAGCAAAGATTAGGTTGTCTCGTCAAATGCCATCACCTACAAATCAAAAAGAAAAGGCCAAACTTGAAATTTTAGAAACAATGCCTGTATACGAGTTATATGGTCAAAGAGAAAAACAGAAATATTGGAATGGAATGCTCCTTCTACAACCTCATCTACATCTTACATTGTCTATGAAAAGTAAAGCGAACGTGAAGCTCAAGAAAGACGAAAGACATTATTCCCATCAAAATCATTAAATGTGTTGCAAAAATAATAACTGTATGACACACTTAAGTGTATCTGAATCAACATAACCTCCTAGTTGACTCCCTTTTCTTTTTTTTGTTTCTCATTCCCGGTGTTTTCTGGTGCTCTATTGCTATCTATTCTTGTTTTAATCCAAAATCGACAACTTTACTATTTAACAGAGGGACATGTTTTGTAAGTTTGTCGCACACGGTGAAGCACTGAAAGAACTTAAGCAGATCTGTGATTCTTGAGCGCGAAATTGCAGCACAGCCCACTTGAAACTGAGATTGATAACTCTAGCTTCTACTGCCAAGGATATAATATGATTTATCGAGTTCTAACATGCATATGTGGTGCACCTTACCAAAAAGGAACCTTCTTCTATTCGTGAGACAAGGAGAAACTATAGCAAGGAAAGGGCAACAAACCCCCTGAAGAACATGGCACAGATTAAAAAAAGTAAAGGAGGGAGTAGGGAGGAAAAACAGCCAGAGTATACTCTTGTCACTTGTCACATAGGTGGTTTTTATAGCAACATTAGCATCAATTGAAGTGTTCAGTCTTTTTTTTTTTTTTTTTACCCTCCCTAGGAGCTCCCACCCTTTTTGCTCCCTTGGTGACTCGAATTCGCAACCTTCGGGTTGGAAGTGAGGGTGCTTACCATCCGAGCAACTCCCTCTCGTCAATTTTTTATATTTTTGGGGGTTAACAGAACTGAAAGTGTCCCAAGACATATCTTTGAGATTGTATGATGTCAAACCTTGGTGGACAACAGAAAACATATTAGGGGCCCTTCACATGGTCCTCTTCAATTTTTCATAGCAAGACTTTTTTAATCTTTTCTCTATATTAGAGGTGTCAAATACCACTTATCCATCACGCTAAACCCTGATATAAGCTAAGAGATGGAAATTAGCAAGATTTACCAAACCTTTTCAAGAATCTCATCATAGCCTTTTCGACGACTCTATTAAAATCAACACAGTTCGAAACTCCCAATCACTTTCAGGCTCTATCTGGTCACAAAATTTCCCAAGGAACGTTTCCATGTGGATTGTCAATAATAGCCCTAAAGAGATTTGTGGATAAGCATGAAGCAGGCCTAGAATAAATGTACCTTAAAAAGGGTGGACTGGTTGGCTAAAGCCAACATCAGGTCAGGGTACAACATTTTGGTGCAGTTTGACTTAAAAAGATAAGTAGGGAATAAAGTGTCTGTTTAAACTGCCTTAAAGGCCCTGAAAAACTCTTAAGTCGCTATCTTGAACATGCAATTTTTTAGACCCAATCCAACCCATAGACTAACTTGGTAAGCTCAAGCATAAGCCCGAGTGATTGCACCAAATCAGGTTAGGCAAACAACCAGAATAGTTGTCATTCTTCATTGTTCACAAGTAGTTTGATTGGATACCTGAATCCATTCAGTCAACTTCACCACTTATATCCAAGGGACTGTCAAACCTCAATGGAATTACATCAAAACAATGGGAGCTTCTCATCTTCTCAACTACCTTATCAGCTTTAGACCTCAACACCTTCATTTCAGAGAAAGTATACTCCCCCCTCAATTTATGTGGCAGTGTTTCATTGGGCACGAATTTTAAGAAAGAAAGACAAGACTTTTGAAACTTATGGTCTAAAACAAGTCAGAGATATTTCTGTGGCTATAAATCATCTCATTCAAATGAGAAGTTTAAAGTTAATTTATCTCTATATGAGTGTGACGTTCGTTTTGAAAACACTAAAAAGAGAAGTACGACACATAAATTGGGACAGAGGGATACTTATTAGGGTAATAAAATGAGAATTGAACAACAAATCTGGAGGAGGTGGCATCAAACCCAGAGGATGAGAAATTGTGGCTGGAAAGACCGAGGAATCTGAAGTACTTGCCTCTACAACAGAAAGTGCTCGAAATAAAGCTCCGGACCTGATGGATACACCACGAAATTCTACCAAAAAGGCATATGTAATGTCAAACATGATGCTATGGGTGCTCTTCAGCACTTTCATCAATCAAGAAACATGGTCAGCAATGCATCATTCATAACTCTAATTCCTCAGAAGGAAGGGGTTATGGAGTTGAGTGATTAAAGGCCAATTAATTTAATTAGTAGTGTATAAAACTGTCTTGAAAATATTTTAGAGTGAAAATGAAACTGGTTTCAGGGCATCAGCATGCATTATTAAATCAAGGTAGATTTCTGACACGGCCTTGTTAGCTAATGAGGTCTTGGGTTGGGAGTTGAAATCTGAACAGCCTGGTCTTTTTTTGAGGAAATTGAAAGCTTTGACCAGCTGAACTGGTTATAACTATTCTCTATTCTGAGGAAAATGGGATTTGGAGAAGGATGGCTTAAGTGGATCAACATCAGTGTTACCACTGTTAAATACTGTCCTAATTGGATGTGTAGGCTTTTTTTCTCCTCAGATAAAATCCTAGACAGGATAAAAGACCAAGATCATAAGGAAAAGATCAACAGTTTTGAGAATCAGTTAAAGGAGATTAACACAAATCTCAAACAGATTCTAGGAAATTGATGGCCAGCATAACAAGTTAACAACCATCAGTACAAAAATTGAGGCAATGGACAAAAAGATCGACCAGATCTTAGACCTCCTCAGAAACAAACCACAATCTCAAGAAATTGAGAAAATGGAACAAATTGCTGCAAAAATAATCACAGACATAGCTAACAAGATAGATAAATGTGAATGCAACAAAGAGATAACTGAGTTGTTGAAAAACAAAGCAGGAATCAACAGGAGTAAATCAGCAGGAGATTTACCAAAGGATGACCAAATCCAAAAAACTCCAAAAGAACCGGAAACCAAAAAACCAGTTCAAGGATGGAGATACAAATGGCCTAACTACAATGTTGGGAACGCAGAATTAGGATCATCAGGAAATCCTAAAGCCATGAGATGGCCAGAAGATTTGGATAACTACAAAGGATAGTCATGGACTACCAGGAGTTATTAGAAGAATACTTTTGGAATAATATCGAAAAGGAAGATATAATTTTAGATGGAAAGACAACTTCCCCAATGGAAGAAGTCATCAAACTTTTAACAGTGGAAGAAACACAGTTTAAAAGAAGAAATGAAATCCAGACCAGAATTAAAAGAAATTCTGCAAGGAAAAGAAAGAATACTGGTACTTGAAACAGAAAACTCTGAACAAGAACAGTTAGAACTATCTGAGAAGGTATAGCCAATGCTGTAATTAAAAACACTCATTGGGTTACCGAAGGAATAAATACATTTGAGCTAATTGATGCAATAACATTAGCCCTTTATGTAATGCTCACAGGAGAGACAGAAGAAGATGCTTCTGGAAGACAGGAAAGGAGATCCCCTCTCCCTATTCCTATCTATTTTAGCTGTGGAGGGACTCAGTAAAATGATTGAGAAAGCCAATCTACTACATTAGTTGGAAGCTTTAAGGTTGGAAATGATGCTGGGAACTCTGTCACAGTTTCTCATCTGCTCTATGCAGATGAAACACTCATATTGTGTAGAGCTGAGAGAATACATGTAATGTACTTGAATCTCACACTTATAATCTCTGAAGCCTTATCAAGACTAATTATGAACATGTTAAAAGGCACCATATACCCAGTTAATGTAGTCCCTGAACTGGAGGATCTATCTCAGATACTGTGCTGCAATCTGGGCTCCTTCCCAGTAACATACATGGGCCTCCCACCAGGTGCAAGATGCAAGTCATAAAATCTGGAATAGGATTATTGTGAAGTTTGAGAAAAGATCGACATCTTGAAATATACAATACCTATCTTTTGGGGGTAAATTAACTCTAAGTAATAGTGGTGTTGAGCAGCATTCCAACATACTTCATGTTCCTTTTACCAATACCAGTCGAAGCACATAAGAAGTAGATCAGCTAAGATGTGAATTTCTTGGGGAACGAAATGGCCGGAATCAGTGTTCTCAAAGGCACGCTTTAAGCCTGGAAGTGAGGTTCAAAACATGTTGAGAGCTTCGCCTCACTTAATGTGCGGTTCCGTGTCATCATCAAGGCACTAAGACATATTTGTCCTTGCCAATGAGTGTTTTCTAAAAGCGACTGCACTAAACAATTGATATTTCCCTTTCTTGTAAAAAAAATTCAATTTCATTGTCCATATATTTGTTATTTATCCTTATAATTATCAGTCTTGGACTAAACATATATAAAAGTTGTATCTTTTTTCTCCATTTCCGTCTTTTTTCATTAAAGCTCACACTTTCTTTGCTCTCAAAGCTCCAAGTTAGAGTTTTTTTTGTGTTTTTTGCTTTTGATAACACGGGCCAGAATCACAAATTTAATCTGATCAAATGGCCAAGAGTCGTTCCACTGATGGGCATGGAGATCTGGGTATGACAGATCTGGTACTATATCACAAAAGTATGCTAAGGAAATGGCATTGGAAGATCAACATGGAAACTCTAGGGTTGTGGAAAGCAGTGATCAAAGCAAAATACACAAAGCAGAGCAGATTACCCTATGGCACAGGTCCATGGAAACATATTTCAAAATTGTGGGATGAGTCTTAACTCAAAACTCAAGGTAAGGAATGAAGCACAGATAAAATTTTGGATGGACAAGTGGTTGGGGTCAGTGGCTCTGGAAAGTGAATTTTCACTTCTCTAACAACTGGCATCTGATCCAATTTCCTCTGAATTGCCTTCTTAACCTCCACAATCTTTATGCACCTACAATACCCAAATCCCTATTTCTCCATTTACATCCTTGATGCACTTCACTTAGTCCAAGTCACGGGCCCTCATATCTCTCGCGTTGACAAACCTATACAACTTTTAATCCTTGATGCACTTCTAAGTATTTTCTTGATGCTTACCAATGACAATTCTCTTAACAAAAAGAATAGATCTTTTAGTTTCTCACTTAACATTTAATCAACCAACTTCTCCAAAGAAAGTTGCATGTGACATCTCCCCCTAAATAATCTCTCTAATATTGTATCATATCCAAATATTTACTAAACCTCAAGTTATTGTCCTCGTTAATCGTTAATTTATTGTTGCTCTGGCTATTGGCATCAGTCTTTATCGGTCTGATGAACTTCTTTTAGAGACCAATTCCCAAAATTTACAAACTTCCTCAAGATAGTCACACATTGTGGGATTCCACTATTGCACATGTTTAACTGCATAACAAGCCACCAGACTTTAGCACCATAACTGAGTGCACTTAAAGAGACCCTGCAGGTTGTTAGCCAATCCAGTAGAATGGTTATACGAAGTCTCTTAAGAATAGGACAATATTTGAATCAAATATGCACATGCAATGTAATTGTTAATGTTCAGGTTGTGTATCATTCTACAACCTCGTTTAGATTCTCCACGCTTCCTCTAAATTTATTTTCTGTTCATCTAATGTTATTGACTTGCTTCTAACAACCTAGAAATGCGACAAGTTATGAAATCCTTGACATGCTTTCTCTGCTCAGTTCACGGTTCAAGCCCTCACACTACGATTGGTATTTTACACCAAACCTTCTGTACTTGACTGCAGTTCAGCTTTTTTTTACTCTCATCATCGGCATTCATTAAAATAAACCTCTCCTAGAGATTTTTCAATAACCTCTTTTCCTGAGTTCATTCCATACAACTATGAACTACCTTTATGATATAGAAAACCTCAGTATTTCATATAAAGCAGCATTAATGCAGGAAAAGCTAAGTTTGCTGATTTGGGTATAATTGCCAAATTGAGAAAAAGGTAACTAAATAAATAAGCAATGAGCCAGTCCTCCATGCCAAACAAGCTAATGATGATAAAATAGATGCTAGCTATATCCCATGCAAGTATTTGTAATAAGTTGGCCCATGCATCATTAATTTTTCCAGAAGAATCAAAAAAGAAATCTGAAGAATGTCAGCTCATGCTTTTTTGTGCACCAAGAAGATAATCTTGACAAAGACAGGAGTGTCGCTGAGAATAAGAACTGGGTAATTCATGAAAAAGAATCTTAAACTAATAAAAACGAGGGAGACATCCGGTTCTTTACACCCCTCCCCTTGTTTTGCCTTTCCTAGTTCACACTTTCTCGCCAAAATGAAACAAAAAGACAAGAAATGTAGATGTTTTTTTTTATCAGAATATAATTTAATCTTTACACCATGAACATTCCTGGAACTGCTTCCTTATTAATTATTATGGATCCACATTTTAAGAATAAGCAGTGAGGGGAGGATTTTTTGATGAAGCAAGTGAAATTTCATTAAGGCATCCAGTAGATGTGAAGATACAAAAGGGGATCTATCAGCTCAGTCGGAACAAAAAACTTATAGAGCCAAGGAGCTGACAAAATCCAGGTAGTGATCTAAGTTATTTAGAGGGGTAGAGTTAGCCCAGCTAAAAAGTGTGGGGAGGATTTCTGCAGCTTCATGAAGGGATTTGAGTCTATATTGTTAGGCTGTAATGGGTATATGTTAGAACTACTTGATCGTCACTAAGACAGAGAGGTCAATGTAGAAAAATAAAAATATGCATACATTTCCCTCGGAAAGCCTGGGACCTGTGTGTAGCATGCAGCATATATAGGATAAGCTCAACCATAACACCAAATCAAGCATTAAAAAAGAAGAGAAGGAGATGACACATAAATTTAAATGATATCACAATTACCTTGCCACAAACTGGACAGCTGTCACTTCTTTCCATCCACTCATATATACAACTCAGGTGGAAATGGTGAGAGCATTTTGTTATTATTTTTGGGTTTTCCTCTGTATATTCTGAAAGAAACAGGATCATCAGGGTCATCTTTTGTTTTGATAAGGTAAGATTACAGGATCATGAAAATTAATATTCAAAAGATACCTTGAACCTTGCTATCAAATACTGCTGTTCACCAGTTGAGTGTTTATTCTTTAACAAATAGTATTACACCATTGATTTTAGATGGAAAAACTGAAAAACTATAACAGTGACTAGGGTAGTTTAAATTTACACTGTCCACTCGATAAACTAATGTCTAAATTATGCTACCAGAGGGTGGGACAAGAGGAGTAGAAGAAGACTTTTATAAGGCTCTCTGCAAACGGCATGCATTAGACTACTTTGTTACATCCAATGAAGTAGAACACAAGGCTATAAAATATTTACCTTCAAGACAGGTTGGGCAGACATCTTCATCTTCTGAATAATAATAGCTATGAGCATCTCCAGAAGTCATTTTAGCAGTTGAGAATTCCACAGAAGACTTATTGTATTCTTTTGATCCTTCTTCAAATGTAGGCAGACTCCATTTATTTACATCACTTAACGATTCAGGGTCATCAAAATTTCTTTGTAGTGGTTCAGTTTCCTCATATGAGTGGCTCGAGCCTTTCTCCCTTCTTGGGACTTGTCCATCTTGTTGCAAGCGGAAATATCTTGGATCAGCATCATATGGCAGTGGTCTCGGAGGAGAACGGTACATGTCAGATAGTGAGTCATCAAGAGATGCTGTAGAACTCAAAGATGCTGCACCTTGATCCGATGAAGGAATGACATGTCTTTCTCCTCTATGGAAAAGTGATGCATACTGCAAGATAAGAATGAAGATATGAAATTCTATGGCACATAAAGGAAAGTAATTTCATCAGCACCTATTCAGTGAATGAAAAAGGTCTTGATGTGAAGCTGATGACGATCTAAATACAAGACCATACCCAAAGATAATATTTTGTGATACAAATACCTAAACAGATTATGCAGATAAGTTCAGCTACCGAATACTCTCTAAAGATTTACGAGTAATATTAAGTTCCTTACTTTCCATGTGTCAGAGCTGTGGATGATGAGCCTTACTGAAATAGTAAAGTTGTTTCATCATCTGATAGAGGCAGAGAAAACCTAATTGCAATGCAAAGGAGGAATCCCATGGACAGGATCCGCTAGCATATGAAATCTAACAATTGACTGCTTTCCAGAGCCTGAAATCCGTCCTTCCTCTCGTTTCAATTTCTTTAGCAAACACAGTATATCTAAGTGATTCAGTACAAAGCCAGAAAAAAACCCAATTTTTCAAGCAAAATTTAGCAAAAGAAACAGCCAATACTACTCCCACTGAGTTTAAGCAACGGCAGAGTTAGCTAACAACTCATTGCAAATATGAGCATTCCTGTTAAACAGATCAAAGAAGTAAATGAGTTTGGGTCTCATTGTTCAAGATAGTCAAGTATCAATTTCTACCACCAAACTACTGATGCTATCGGTTCACAAAATAAGTGCCGCTTACAACTGAACATTGTCCCATGACAAAGCAACGGTAACAAGATCAATTTAAAACTCCCTAATTACTTCAGGTGGGAATATTAGTTAATGATTCAGAGGAAAGAGACTAGAAAGGTACTGTCCATTGATATATGACTGTGTAAGAAGCAGTAGTGTGTTCAAAAAGAAGGAACTATAAAGTGATTATACAAAGATGTCGTCGAAAAGCATACCACATGCAAGAAGTTCTGAACAAGAGTTGGAAAGCATATACAGTTCCTATACATTGAGCTGTTTGGGTTGGCAAAATCTTCACATTCGTCTCGCAAGCAGCAACAAACTGCACCCATTATATCTCTTTCAAGCTATGATAGTACCTCAAAAACCTTTTCAAGTGTCATTGACAATCCCCAATTGTCTCTATTTCCTGATTGTGGAAGCAAAAGTTGTGGTGATCGAAATTTGGGGTAACTTAATAGAACTGACAAAAGGCCTTCAGCAAGCAAATGAAGAAGCGAGCCAATTGGGCACCCGCTCTCTTCAGGAAATCCCGAATGAGTGAATGCCCTTTCTGATCAAGGCCTTAAGAAAGAAAAGTATGATGTTCGACACCTGTAACAGCAGAGACAATTAAACTATCAGAACTAAGATATATACAGCCGGATGGTTTACTTTAGAAGACACACAATACTTCCAAACTTGCAGCTCTCGAAGAAATACACCTTAAAGGCTTAACTCCAAACAATTCTTGTTGGCTATATGAATCCTCAATATTCATTCAACTCCACTTGGACCCTTTTACTTCCAAAATTCAGAGTGCCCAATACAGTAGTTAAATGTGATATCTTTATATGCAATTATATATGAAACTCAGTGAAATTTTTTACTTTCTTTGGGAATTAAGCCACTGCATAGCACCCGGAGCATAATTTCAACTTTATGGGTTTTGGATTTTAGAACAGCTACTAAATGGGTTCTGAATAATGAATTTCTTAACACAATTCACTGTTTGAGCAAAAGCTACTAGCCGTGAATTCAATCAGAACTTATACAATAACAAACACTATTAGAAAGTAGATACGATTGTAAAACATCAAAAATTTCCATGGATTACAAAAAAGATTACTTTTTTCTCCTCCTGTTTTCTAAATGGGCATCAAAGGGTTTCATTCACACAATCTCAGTAAGCAAGCAAGCAACCATAAATGATCAGCTAAAAAGTTCAACCGTCACAATCATAAGGCAAACAGACAACCAAGAATTGGTAATTTTAATTTCAGAATTAATCCATTGTTGAGTCAAAAGACAAAACTTCAACGCAGATATATCTGTTAATCAACCAAATTCAAAAAATACCCATTTGAGGTCACCCAATTTGCAGGTTAGATAACAAAGTAAAAGATGGGAAAAAGAAAAAAAACCTCAAATTACGTAGACACAAACAGAGAGAGACAAAGCGATGGAATTAATGGATGATTTTGTTGGATAAAAGACAGAAGCCCAAAGAATTCTTGAAATCGGAGACTCGATGATTTGGATTTGTTTATTTTTTTCTTTGTTTCGCCAACATAAGCACTGTTACGCGTCAATAAAGAATACCTCAAGCGGCCAAGCCCTTATTAGGATTTAATTTGCGATATGGTTTAAATTTGTCCTCCGTTAGAATTTTGGTTCATCAAAACGTTTACTATCAAAATTTTGGACCATGTACTAATATTATGTAAGGAAGCTATCTAAAATTACTATTGTGATTTGCAAAAGGTTTAATTTTTATATTTGACGAAATTATTTTTTTAGTATAATCGCTCCTCCAAAGGACCAAATGAGAATTTTAAAGAAGACATTGAATTGATCCGTGATCTTCTAGCCATTTGTTGCTATGTTATTGAGCTCCAAATTTAATTAATTCTTGTCTGAAATTTAAAAAAAAATCAGTTTGAACTTAATGTTATTAACAATTTGTGCCTCTAATAGAAGCACAATTATCAACAACAACAAAAAGAGCAACAAAAAGTTAACATACACGGTACACTAGATGGAGTTGTTTTTTCTCAGTCATATGTTTAATGTTTGAGCTCTCGAAATGAAAAAATCTTTGGTAGAGAGTGTTTTTCCTCGAATGGGATTTTATGCGGCACGAATTTGAATATAGTCGAGCTTCAATGCGGATATCATGATCAGACACTAGTTTCAGTGATACATACTTGAATGTCAAACGAATTAGATCCACATTTTCATAATAATACACTCATTATCCCGAAATTCTGGATATGCCTTTGCTAACTAGGGGTGTGCATCAGTCGGTTCGGTTCGGTTTTGTGTATTATTGGTTTAGTTTTCAGTTTTTGAATATGCTAAACCAATAACAAATCAATAAGATATTCTTTATCGGTTTTCGATTTATCGATTTTCGATCAGTAACAGTTCGGTTTTCGATTTACCCAATAAGAAAATGCTCATAAAATCAATATATGATTTCTCACTCCTCTAACAATTTGGCATGATACAGTGAGACAAGCAAATCAGTTGTAAATGCTTTGATATAGTGAAACAAGAATTCTAATGAGAAATTGCATCAATAAGAGTAGATGTAGTACGAAGGCTACAATAACATGTTACAACCAAAACATAATATGGAATTTCTGATATGAAGTAGAAGTACTATGACGTGTGAAGTGTGTAGACCGTAGTGTAGAGTACTGATATAGTGTCTAGTTATGTTAAATTATTAATATTTAATATTTATGAAGGGTATAGTAGTAACTTACTATCGTCTTAATGGTTTATCGGTTTACCCAATAACTCAATACTAAAAACTGATACCAAACCAATAACCCAATAATTTTTTTATAAAACCATTAAAAACCCGTTAACCTAATAACCCAATAGCAATGACCCAATAACATTTTTTTCGGTTCGATTTATTGGTCGGTTCGATTTTTGCACACCCCTATCAAACACCGAATAAAAAATCAAAAAAGAAAGTCAACATCGGGTGAAAATGGGCAACACCTTGTTTGGATGGTTGTTACCCTGTTGTATTGTAGTTTAAATACAATATTTGTTTTGATTGTTACTTACATTCTATTGTATTGTATCAATTAAATTCATTGTTAGGTAATGATGAAAAGATCCTTTTTATGTAACGACCGGTTTGATGTGAATGTGTCGTATCTTAATATTTTCTTCTCATTTTGTTTTTATTTATTATTTATTAATCATATTGCATCTGTTATCCTACCTTTACATAGTAGCTCCACCATGTACCCTACTTTTTGTAGGTTTATCATTCAAATTATGGATATATAACATTATGTAACGACGGAAAATGATATAATCTATCCAAACACTATATTTATACAATACAACACAACACTATACAATACAATATGATACATTATGAAACAATATGTAACAATCATCCGAACAAAGTGTTGTTTCACACTTTCTCGTTGAGTTTATTTTTTTATTTAAAAAAAAAAAAACTAGAGAAAATGTTCCAGTTAATTAATGTTAATCCTTAGGGGAGTATATGAATGTGTTGGTTCAGATTTTTCAAATATCAAATTAAATTATTTATATAAGATTTTTAAATTTATAAATCAAATCAAATTAATAAAACTTGGATTTTTCAACCTCATTCTTTTCTGGATTTTCGAATTTTTCGGATTTTCCCGATAAAGTATTCATACAAACATATAATCAACTTGTGCTTCAAAAATTTATTTGGTCCTATGAAAATATAACTATTTAAGGTGTTTCTTAAGAAACTAGGAGTACAAAATATGAGATGAGTGAGTACACTAAAATATTCAATAAAAAATGATAATGAATTGAAATCACGTTAAAGAAATATTGTAAATTAATAAGTCATAATGAAAATGATCATAATTTTAAAGTACTAAATTATCCTAAAAAATGGGTAATAAAGTATTAATTATGACATGACTAAATAGAAAATTCTTAAAATTAGATTATATATTTTAAATGTCTAAATCATTGTAAAACTAAATAACACATATTCAACATTATTGTCATTCTTAGTGTTGAATTGATTTTTTTTCCCCGTAAGTATTAGTATTTGTTTGATTTTGATTTGAGCTTTATTAATAGAGTAACTAACATCTATGAACTATAAACTTTATTGGACCATTCAAAATTTTAAATTTCAAACTTGAAATAATATATTAAAAATAAAAACTATGAAAAAATATAAGAAATATTTAGAAATTATATCAAAGTAAATATTTTTATGTATAAAATAAAATTTTAAAATTATATATAATGTCAGGTTAATTTGATCTCGGGTTGATTTTTTAGTTAAAACCAAACCAAGCATAATTGAGGTATTTTTTTCAATACCAAAACACTAATCAATTTTTTTTTCCGTATTTGACTCGATTTACTTTGATTCAATTTTTGATTCGATATTTGTAAGGCCACCTAATCCTAATAGGGGTTCATGCACCAATATAAATTGAAATTTCGGCCTAACTTCTAAACAACTAGTGAGAAGATGCGCACAAGCTAATAGCCATGCATTTGGCCTAATATATAATTATATATTAGAATTTTAATTCAAAATTTTGGCCTGACTTCTAAATAACTAGTGAAAAGATGAGCACAAGCTATGCATTGGCCTAATATATATTAAAACTAGTGAAGATTTCCACGCTTCGCGCGGCCATAAAAACTATTTATAAATTTTGAAATAAACTTACTAAAATTTATAATATCATTTTTTAATTATTAAATTTTTCAATTTTTTTTTCTATGCTTGTATCTAATCTCCCCCTCATTTGTACATATTCTAAATAATAAGCTCTAGTTTAGAAAATAGGTTACTTTTCCTTGAGTTTTCATTCTTTACTTCGTGATTATCTCCGTTTCTTTCCCTCTCTTATTCTACTTCCTCTTTTTATTTTTCTGAACCATTTTCTTTCGATCCTTTCAATATTTATTTAATTAATTTCATTATTTTCTTGTTTCCCTAATTCTTGTTGTTAGTCAAAGATTGTGCTTTATTTTTGAATAAATAAAATTTTAATACTTTTTTCTACTTTAATATTCTCATTACCTATTTGAAATCTAACGTCTTTCATCTTTTATAGTAATTATCTTCCCCTAATCAATTGAGTAATTATTTAATCGATGTTAAAATTTTAAATTAAAATGATAGGTACTAACACATTAATGAGATTTGAATACAATAAGAGGTAGTTAACGGTGAGTAAAAATAGCTAGTTGAACGTAATTCACTCTATTTAATTTGAACTAAATTTGAAACTTTAAATATGTCAAAATTAAGTTTGATTTCATTTCTCAGCCAATCAATTTTGTGCATAAGAAAACATAATTTTATTCGCATTATTTTTTAAAACTAATTAAGATCAAGCCTTCGGATATCTAAATGTTTTGAGAAATAATATCAATGAAAACAGTAATAAACTAAAGTTTATACACTGATGAGAGATTAGTTTTCTTTCAACGTTCTTATTTATAAACAATTTATTATTTTCGTAATCATGGACGAAAACACAAAGAAAAAAAATCTTACATAAAATAATGAACAAAAAAGAAAGTTAAACCAACAAATTAAAAGAAACAAAACACATATACGAAATGTATTAAGTAAAATTGCATCTTATAAATATTTAAATAATTATATCTACAAGCATAATCAAAAAGATATATTTGAGATACTCATAATAAGTAGTTTGATAAGAAGTCCATTTGAATAGTTGTTGTAGCTTGTTGATACATTTTTCTTTTCACTTTCTGCAAATGATGGAACAAACTCAACAAAAATTATACTTAACAATCAAAGAAAAGATATATTGCGTAGAAATCATAACAATAAACGTTCATGCATAAGAAAATGTTAAGAAGAGATTATAGTATCACGCAGAACCATGTATAACCACTAATAAGTTTGTTGATACAATTATCCAATAAAAATAATAATTAGAATTACCTGATAAAATATAGAATCATGAGTGTTTCACCTAGCATATGGGGTTGTTGGAGCTTTGTTCCTAAATTTATACTACCATTTTATTGAGACCCCAGAATTTGAAGAGGTGCAACACTTAATATCTTTTAATAAATATTAATTAGTGGGAAGGAGAAGGGTATTGAAATCAGTTTTTTTGGCAAAAAAATCGTGCAACACTAATGTATACTATTTAATACTAATATAACATCAATACCTATTAATAGGGAAGGAGAAAGAGTTTTTTTCCGGTAG